TGCATTGTAAATTTTGGTCAATGACATGAGACAAAGTATATGTGAACTGCTGTATGAAAAGTGAATTTACTCTGTAAATCTTCACCCAAATCCTAATAATAAAACAAACAAACAAACAAAGAAAAAAAACTTAGTGATGGAATATTTCAAATACATGTAAAAAAGTGGGACTAGATTAATGAACCCTCAGAAACCCATTAACAGTCTGTAAGAGGTATTTTATTTGTGACCCCACCCTCTCCTCCCTTCTCCCTGACTTGCATTATTTTAAACAAATTCCCCGGATGTAATTTTAACTGTAAATATTTTAGTATGTATTTCTAAAAGATAAGAACTTTTAAAATATGTAACCATTATGCCATTATCACACCTAAAAAGAAATAAGAATAATTTCTTAATCTCATTAACTATCCAAATTTCCTCCCCCATCTAATTTGTTTAAATCAAGGTCATAATAAGTCCTGCAATACATTGCAATTGATTTCTTTGTCTCTTTCATGCTCCCATTAGAAGGCAAATACTGTCTGGTTGTCTCTCATTTTGTTCCATTAGCAGCTACTGATGATTATTGCCTTGATACATTAATTAATTAGGTGTTGCCATTTGGGTTTTTGAAATCTGATAGTGGAACTTCACCCAGTAGGGTGTAGTAGGTATGGCAGGCAATATTCATGCTACGAAGATTATAAGAAAAAAGATAAATTGCAAAAATTATATTTTAAATTTCACTGGAGAATTGAGGATACGAAGAACTAAAATTTCAAAAGGGAAGACCCAGAGAGTTGACTGTTTCCTTCTTAGGTAGCATTTGCTGATTTTTGGTGTACACTAAAGTTCAGACGTGGCCCAAACAGACAGATTACTGGGGAAACAGAAATCAGGAAAACTAGAGAAGCTCCCAACAGAAGATTAGTTTTTCTCCACGGGACATTTGCTGAGTTCTGAGAAGGTGCACATTGGGCTGTGCTGGAAAGGCCAAGGGAGACTTCTTTGGTTTTTTTTTTGTTTTGTTTTGTTTTTTAGAGAGTCATACTTTTGAGCACTGGGTAAGTCAAGTTCCCATCTTCATCTTAGTTTCCTCCTCCATAAAATGGAGGAGTTTCTTTTTTTGTTTTTAATGGATGACATCTCAACATAAAGGAAACTAAAATCCTCACAATTGGACCAATAAGCAACATCACAATATATGGAGAAAAGATTGAAGTTGTCAAAGATTTCATATTACTGGGTTCCACAAGCAACACCAATGGAAGCAGCAATCAAGACATCAGATGACGTATTGCACTGGGCAAATTGGCTGCAAAAGACTTCTTTAAAGTGCTGAAGAGCAGGGATATCTGTTTGAAGACTAAGGTGCACCTGACCTAAGCCATGGTATTTTCAATCGCCTCATATGCATGTGAAAGCTGGACAATGAATAAGGAAGACCAGAGAAGAGTTGATGCTTTTGAGTTATGGTGTTGAGGAAGAATATGGAATATACCATGGACTTTCAGAAGAACTAATAAATCTGTTCTGGATGAAGTGTAGCCAGAATGCTCCTTATCTAGCAAGAATGGCCAGACTTCGTCTCACCTATTTTGGTCATGTTGTCAGAAGGGAGCACTCCCTGGAGAAGGATTTCATGCTTGGTAAAGTAGAGGGTCAATGAAAAATGGGAAGGCCCTCAATGAGATGGCTCAGTGGCTACAACAATGGATTCAGGTATAGCAGGGATTCTGAGGCTGGCATGGGACTGGGCAGTGTTTCGTTCTGTTGTACGTAGATTCACTATGAGTTGGAGCCGACTCAACAACACCTAACAACAACATAAAGAGGGGGCCTTCAGTAAGCATACCACCAGTGTTCCTCTCAATGCATTTTCCAGATTTTGAACCTTCATGGGAGGAGGCTAAAGAACTCAGCTCAAAAGCCTCTGAAGGACAGAGCTTGTAGGACTGAGGAGCCAGACACTTCCCAGATTCTCCATCAAAAACCTGAGAAGATTGTGCTTGAGAACAGGGACCACCCAGCGGTGGTATGACTGTGATCTAACCAGGTCAATCTGCAATTGGATTAAGGTGATCAGCTTCTCACTCTATCTGCCTTAAATAGGAAAAGTGAGATCCCTTATGGTGGAAGAGGAAATGTGAGCTCTTACAGTTATTTTTATGTACAATGGTGGACCTACAATAAAAAATCACTTGATATGTAAAGAGGTGGGGAAATGTTACTGATGAACTATGGCAAAAAAATAAAAACAAACAAAAAGCCCAATAGGAGCAGACACACATAACATCTAGACATTGAAATTGAGATGCATAGTCTTTAAAATAACTATGAATAATATCTTTAAAAAGTAGAAGAAAAGGCAAAAAGGATGAAGAGAGATAATTTAAAAACTTGTAATCCATACAAAAACTCAAATGGTACTCTAGATTTCATAACAACATCTGGAATTAAGAACCCATTGAGTGTGTTTGACAATAGTCTGGACCCAGCTGAAGACAGGACTAGTGACTGAGAAGACAGTTCAGTAGAAAATATCCATACTGGAGCACAGAGACAAGAAAGAATAGAGCATAAGATACCTGTAGGACACAGTCAAAAAAGTTCTAATAGACATGTAATGGTAATCCGAAGATAGTAGAGTGACATCTTTAAGGGGCGAAAAGAAAAAAGAGTCAATGTAAAATGATACGACCATTGTGGAAATCGGTATGGCAATTCCTTAAAAAGTTAGAAATAGAAACACCATTTGATCCAGCAATACCATTACTAGGTATATATCGTAAAGAAGTGAGATCCAGGACAAGAACAGATATATGCACACCCATGTTCATCGCAGCACTACTCACGATAGCAAAGAGATGGAAACAATCTATGTGTCCATCAACAGAAGAATGAATAAGCAAACTATGGTATATATACACAATGGAATACTATAAAACCCTAAAGAATAATGTAGAATTTGCAAAACACTGCATAGCGTGGATGAACTTGGAGGACATGATGCTGAGTGAAGTAAGTCAATATTGTGTTAGTCTACTATTGTCAAAAGTCAAGGAAAGTTTTGTACATGGAAGGAAACTCTTCTTTTGTTGGTTACTAGGGATGAGAGGAGAAGGGAGCCAAAATTCCTATATAGGTTGAAAAAAATACTTATGTAGAAACTAAAGATTGTTAGTGGTTACCAGCAGTGGAGGGAGGGGAAAAGGGGAAGTTTTTGTTTGTGGGGCATTGAGTTTATGGTAATTGTGGTGGAATATTTTGGAAAAGTATAGCAATAGTGGTGTCACAACATGAAAAAATGTCATCAATGTCCCTGAACTATAAATGTGGAAGTTGTTATGTTGGCGAATGTCTTGTATATGTTTTCACCAAAATAAAGGCGATTAAAAAAAAAAAAAAAAAAGTCAATACAGAATTCTATACCCCCCAAAAAAATCCTTGAAAGATGATGTTGTTGTTGTTGTTATGTGCTATCGAGTCGGACCCGACACATAGCAACACCTCCTTGGGTTTCCAAGGCAGTATCACTACGGAAGTAGATTGCCCCATCTTCCTTCCGAGGAGTGGCTGGTGGGTTTGAACCGCCAGCCTTTTGATTAGCAGTCAAGTGCCTTAGGCACTACGCTACCAGAGCTCCCAAGCTCTGAAAAATGATGTTGTTGTTGTTAAGTGCCGTCGAGTTGTTTCTGACTCATAGCGACCCCATGCACAGCAGAACGAAACACTGCCCGATCCCGCGCCAGCCCCACAATCCCTGCTATACTTGAGCCCATCATTTCAGACAAATAACAATTGAGAAAATTTATTACCAGCAGATCCACTGTACAAGGAATCTTAAAGGAAGTTCTTTAGGTTGAAGGAAATATGTGCCTATGTCCTTCAAAAGGTGTGTAGAAGAATATTCATAGACAACTATTCATAATAGCTTCTACCTGAAAACAACTCAAATGTTCGTAAGTAAGAGAATGGAATACTAGATTGTGGTCTGTTCATAGAATACTGCATAGCAAGAAAAAGGAACAAATTATGGGTACATGAAACAACAAGGATGAATCTCAAAGATACTGTATTGAGTAAAAGTATAGCAAGACCCAAGAGTATGTATTGATCCCTTTATAACCAAAACCCACTGCCATCGAGTTGATTCTGACTCATCACGACCCCCATTGGGTTTCTGGGGCAGTAAATCTTTACAGAAGTAGGTTGCCCCATCTTCCTTCTGTGGAGTGGCTGGTGGGTTTGAACCACCAACCTTCTGGTTAGTCACAGGCACTACACCACCAGGGCTCCTTAATCCCATTGTAGATAGGTTGAAAATAGCAAAACTAATCAGTGATAGAGGTCAGCACAGTAGTTATATCAGGCTGAAGAGTACTGATTAGGAAGGAACCCCAGGGAGCCTTCTAGAGTTTGGAAACATTCAATTTTTCTTTTTTAAAATCTGGGTTGTGGTCACATGGTTATGTGTGTGTGTGTGTGTAAAAATTGAGTTTAAGGTATGTGCACTTTACTGTATGTTTTTCCTCAATTTTTTTTTAAGCAATCAGTATTACTGTCTTTTAGTCCCTTTTCTCATAAATAAAAATGCCAACAAAATAAAGACATCCCCAGTGACAGGGAGTAATACCAAAATGAGAACGAATATTAAAATGGATAGTGAGAAGAGGTCATTTAAAATCTAAGCTGTAAGGCATGAACTGAGTTTTGAATTTTGTAGCTATATGAAGCATGATTTCCGCCATCTTAGTGCTAATCCTAGGAGCTCTGGTAGCATAGTGCCTAAGGCACTTGACTGCTAACCAGGAGGCTGGCGGTTCAAACCCACCAGCCACTCCTCGGAAGGAAGGTTGGGCAATCCTACTTCCATAGTGATAACTGCCTCGGAAACCCAAGGAAGGGTCGCTAGGAGTTGGGGCCAACTCGATGGCAAATAACAACAACAGTGCTGATCCTTATTAACTTTTTAACTTCTGCCCTCTTTTCTCTTTTTCCTTGCCCCATCTTTGCTTGAATACAGTATAGGATTCTTCTTTACATTAGTCAGCAGCAGCCAGTTACTGTTGCCAGGATCCACCTGAACTTTGAGTTTACGGTAAGATTTCCCTATATTGGAATCATTTAAAAAAAACAACTCACTGCTGTCGAGTCGATTCCGACTCATAGCGACTCCCTTTGGGTTTCTGAGGTGGTAAATCTTTATGGAAGTAGATTGCCCAGTCTCACTGGCTCCTTTGGCATAGCTTTACAGGCGAGATTAGTCTGAATTAGGTGCACTGCTTCAGCCCTGGGCATTAATGTGGGCACCTAACAGTGCCTCTCAGAAAGGGCTCTTTGCTGCCTTCTGGGAGTATGGTCCGAGGGTTGGTTGGGGGAATGTAGGAGGGAAGAAGAAAGTTCCCTGATACCTCTTTTGGGGTCCATTTCAGTGTAGGTCCTTCTCTTTGAGGTTAAACCGTCATATTTATCCACTGTACTTCTTGTAGTTCAGTTTTCCCAACATTTCTTCTTTCTCCAGGTTCAGCCCAGTAACTATAGCACCTTTTATGATGACCAGAGACAAAACTGGTCCATCATGTTTGAGTCAGAAAAGGCTGCTGTGGAGTTCAACAAACAGGTAATATCTTACTTTTCCTGAAGCCAGAACACTTTTGTGCAGTTCCCTTAATTTTAGGAAAATAAATGCAAAACACATAATCTGCTATATGTATGTATGTATCCATACACACACACAATTTTAGTGGAAGTATACACAGTAGATCATACACCCATTTGGCAATTTCAGTGTATAAATGACGTTTGTTACATTCTTCACATTGTGTCCTCATTCTCGTTCGCTCTCCTCATGTTGTTGACTTAGACTCACTGCCCTCTAAACTACCTGTTTATGCTTTAGAGCTACTGTGGCCAATTTGATAAAGTTAATTCTTTAAAAGAGCACAGTGCTCAAGTCAAACTTTCTTTACAAATTCAGCTAAACTATTGTGTAATTTGAAAATGATTTCTGGGGATAGTTTGGGTTCAAGGTCTAAATATTTCTCAAGGTGACAGATTCAGGGGTTCTCTAGCCTCAATAGATCTCGTAAGCTGGATTCTATAAGAAATTTGAAATTCTATTCCACAGTTTTCTCCCTTTTGACCAGGACTCATCTGTTGAGTCCTTGATGAAATACTCAGTGATGGTAGCCAGAACTGGATGCAGTTCTTCTGGTCTCATGATAAAAGCAGTAATTCATGGAGGCAACTAGACGTGCATGCAGTCCAGTTCCTTCTGTGATTCCTGGATCTCCTTCTGCTGCTGCTCCAGCCAAACAGAAACCAATCATTGTGTGTTAGATGGCTGCTTGCAAGTCTTTAAGACCTAAGGCGCTACTCACTGAACTGAGAGGTAGAACAGAAACGCTTAAAACAATGTTAGGCGAGTTGGCTGGACAGTGCCAGGAAGCCGTGACCCTAAGCCTTTGAAACAAGAGAACTAGTCTATGAGTGTTTTTGCCTAAGTGGTTTTACCAACTGCAACCTCTTTTTTATTTTTGTTTCAGTTGTTGTAAAATTATGTGTAACACATTTGCCATTTTACCTTTTTTCTGGTGTAGAACTTAATGATAACAGTTAGTCAAGTAATACAACCATTACCCTTAGTTGATGCCAGTTTTCACATCACCATAGACAAACTCATCACTTCCTAGAGATGATTGCTGTATATTGTCAGTGTAAAACATAAAAAACTCTCTATATTTGTCACATGAACCATGTATTTTAGGGAAATAATACCTAAACTAGTTGAAAATAAGACTTTTGAAAGAAAAAAGACTGAATGTAAGCGTACTTGATGAAAACATTTTTCCACCACATAAACTATTAAAGGCACTCTTGTGGCGCAGTAGTTAAAGCATTTGGCTACTAACCAACAGGTTGGCAGTTCAAACCCACCAGCTGCTACACAGGAAGAAGATGAGGCAGTGTGTTTCTGTAAAGATTTATAGCCTTGGAAACCCTATGGGGGCAGTTCTACTCTGTCCTGTAGGGTTTCTATGAGTCAGAATCAACTTGATGGCAGTGGATTCTTTATTTTTTATTTTTTTTATTTTAAACTTCTTTGAAGAGTAAGTAATACTTCTAAAAGGATTATTTTAAAAGAATCCTATCAGTCTTCTAATGAGGTAAGTGACACTGTAGTAAGCAACTTTGTATATAAGTCTGTCTCCTTTTTCCCTCTGATTATTTCCTTATTCGAGATTTCTAGAATCGAGTGCATCAGTGGATCTGACATCTGCATGTTTTTCCATTCTGAACACACTTTGGCATACTGCCTTTCAGAAAGACTGTACTATATTACACTTGTATCAGTTGTTTCACTGCTTCTTCCAGCATTGAGAACTATATAGATATTTTTTTAAAATCCTATTTGCTTGGTATAAAGTGGCATCTCATTGTTTTAGTTAGCATTTATTTGATTGCAATAATATTTTTTTTAAAGAATAATGACTGGAAAGTTTTTAACACATTGTATTATAAAACAGGGAGCTCTGGTAGCATAGTGGCTAAGTCACTTGCCTGCTAACCAGACGGCTGGCGGTTCAAACCCTCAGCCACTCCTCAGAAGGAAGGTTGGGCAATCCTACTTCCGTAGTGATACTGCCTCGGAAACCCAAGGAGGGGTCGCTATGAGTCGGGGCCGACTCGACGGCACATAACAACAACAAATAGTAAAACAGTGCTTGTAGGATAATTACTCAGAAAAATGTGTCTGTTTTTTTGTCTTTGACCTATGCTAGAACAGTGTGGCTATATCAGTAGGTGGTGGTGGTATGGGTTCGTGGAATGCAACATGGATTTGTAAAGGGCCTTCTTTCTATGCCTTTTGAAAGATTTTAGTTGCTCCCTTTCTTTTATATATTTCCAAACACTGAAATAGTAATCCTAATATAATCAGCTAACATTTACTGAGTGATACTATTATTTGCCAGATACTGTGCCAAGTACTATGTTAGTATTAGCTCACTTAATCTACAGAATCGCCCTATGAGATACACATGGTTTTTGTCTCCATTTACAAGTGGCTGATCTTGGGTACACAGAAGTGAAATATCTGACCAAGGTCATAGAGTTAGTAAGTGCCAGTGCCCAGATATGTACCTAGAGTCCAAAGCCATGCTCTTAGACACTTGGCTTCCTGGCAGGGTTATGAACTTTGGAATGGCTTGCTTCATTAAAATGTAAACTGCCTTGTTAGTGGATGCAGCTGTTTGGGAAGGAGCATCAGCAATAGTGTGGTGAGTAATTACTGAGTGTAAACGTAAGTTGACGCTGCCTTGGTTTCATCTTGCAGGTCTGCATCGCCAAGTGCAACAGCACCTCTTCCCTGGATTCAGTGCTCTCACAGGACCTCACTGTAGCAGAAGGACCTGCTGTAGAAGTAGGAGATTCTTTGGAAGTGGCATATACTGGTTGGCTCTTACAGAATCATGTGCTGGGCCAGGTAAGAAACATACCTTGCAAGCTCCTTTGTAACTTAAGAAAATAAGGCCTATTCAAACATAAGGCATGTTTATTGTGAATTTCTGCTATTGTCAAATAGTAATCTTTTAGGAGCCCTACCTTAGTTTTTTTTTCAGCCTGTTCATGACACACTAATGTATAAAATCTGCTTGGAGCCACTGTGTCTTTTCTACTTAGGAAAAGTGGGAACCAATTTCCTTTGTATGATTTTTGTTAACTGTTCATACAAACTTCTTGTCCAGGGCTTCAAGCTGGTTTATTCCAATTGAACCACCACTGAGAAATTACTTTTCCATCCCAAGTGTACTGAATCAGAATCTACAGTTTAACATGACCCCCATGTGATTCTTTTTTTTTTTTTTTTTTTAATTGTGATTTGGGTGAAGATTTACAGAGAAAATTCACTTTCCATACTTTGGAAAGTTCACATATACTTTGTCTCATATCATT